GAATGCAATACAGCTCTCAGTCGCATTTTTCGCATTTATAAAAACCTCGCAATAATTTCTGAATTTACATTATTGTAAGATTCTCTCAGTGTACACATGGAGCTGTGAAACTTACAATTATCATGATAATTAAACATGTTAAAGATTGACGTACATTTTGGAGTAGCCCTATGGCATTGTATAGTGTAATAAATTCAGGGAATAATGGCACTACCGCTTTGATTTTAAAGTCGTCGGAATCAATCTTTGATATTAATTTGCATGTACAAACGCATACACTCATGCAATAGACATATTGTCTTCAAAAATAAGAGGTATCCATGCTATATATTTAACAGATCTTAATCAAGTATTAATTTTGGTTTGTTTAAATATTTCGGAGGTTAATATGACGTCCATTTTTTGCCATGTTTTCCCCAGCCATCAGATCTTGGGTTCATCTGAGTAAACAGTACATCAGTACTTTGATTAAAGTTGGAAAAAATTGTTTGTACCAACAACAAATAAACTTGCCCCAACAAAAGACGAAGGATCCTGCCTTAAGAAATAATCAAGGTTATTCTAGAATTATGTGTTTATTATTTTTTTATGTTTAGGTTGCTAGCAAGATGAAAAGAACAATGCAGTTCAAAAGTCAAAATGTGGATACGCTGAGGTACAAGGTCCTACTTATGCAGATTTTCATTTCTTGCATGAATGCATTTGAAGTTTATATCATGGAGGGCAGAAAAAGAAAAGAAACACTTCAATTTTTCTGCTTCTGAAGGATAAGTGAAACTTATCTTGTTCGGTAAGTTTTATGCCCTGTTTTGATAGTTTTTGTGCCTCAATCTGTCCAGTCCTTTGTCTGAATTGTATCTGTTTAAAGTTTTCGGTTACAGTTCACCATGTCAGTTAGTAACTTGTGGTTTTGCATGTATACAAAATTTAGTACTTATGTTCATATGATGTATGTTTATACATTATACACCACATAACTGTTTTTACCCTGATTTCATGGATCACTGAACATAGAAATGTCATAATGTGAAATTATAGTACATTCTTAGGTTAAAAGTTTTAGGTTAAGGTACATAGCTTACCATAAAGTTGAATTTCGTGCACATGTCCATTATGTGGTGAACTTTTCAATTCAATGCCAAACTAAGATTTTGAGTCTGATTACGTGATTGGCTAAACATTGACACATGCTAGTGTTTGCCGGGCATGGTGTCCTGTACTAGGAATTTTAATAATACTCGCTGAGTATGGAGTTTTTGTCAATGTTTAATAATAGTGTGATTTTTGCATGACATCCTGACAAATGCTTGTTAATCATGTTAATACATGTATCTGACACATTGGTGTTTTGTGAACTCAGAAGTAAGTTATTTGATAGAATAATAATGTTTTGAGATTTTCAAAATTAAAAATATCCCATTTTTACTATTAATAATTAATATTAAAAAAAAGATTTATGATATATGTATAAACATATATAAAAATGAGATAGCAACCAAACAACACAAAAATAAGAAAGAAATAACAATATAATTTTTTGTATCAATGTTATAACGTTCAAAGAGTTCGAAGTATTTTCTCATGGAAATAAAACAGAAGTTGAACTCTTACAGGAGTTTAAAGTATTGCTGTTTCTGTTGTTGGCATTTTGCATATTGCAAAGTCTTGTTAAAAATGGAATGTTATTGTAATGCCTAAAGTTTTAACATTGATCTATATATATAACTGGAAAAATACCCAACTGTTATAGAGAAGAATACATATACTGATCGTTATATAATATTAAAGTAAGAAGATGTGGTATTATTGCTAATTTGACAACTCACCATCAGAGACCAAATAATGTAGGAGGTTAGTAATTGTTGACACTGGATAACCTTCAACTATCAGCAAAATCCATACCGCATAGCTATTTTTTTTATTGAAAATGATATTTTCTTGCTACATGTATGCACATTTTTTTTTTATTGTCTATAACTTAGGATTTTTTTGGTTCTTTTTCAGAAGGATTGAAATGCATCACTTAGAAAAAAGGGAGAAAACACAGAAACAAGGCCAGAATAAATCCAAAGACAAAAGTCAGATGAGTTATTATTTTCATCAGTCAATGAATCGAAGTTCTATTAAATAAAAATAGATATTGAAACCATAATCATGACAATGTTCTGTGCTGAATTGCCAAAAAATGGACTATACATTACAATCACACATGTTGGATGACAGGAAAGACAACAGACATTTTTGAAATAAACAGTAGCATTTATTAACTAATGAAAAATAATCTTTACATATTTTCATACACTTTCTAATAAATCAAATCAAGATTTAAGACAGTATGGTATTATACAAACACAAAAGTGCAAGCATGAAGTCTTCAATAAAATCATAAGTAGTATAAGGTGCCAAATATGTCCTCTAGTTAAAAATGAAACTCTCTTGGGCATATTGAAAGGCTTTAACATCCAAATTTAAGACATTCTTTTCAATTTATACATTTTTTTAACAAGACTTTTCACAAATCTATTGACATATCACTTTTAATTTGAAATAAAATTGCATTTGTCAAACATTCAGTAAATTGACTTCAAATAGAGTTCTTTAACCCTTTAGTACTGTAGTTTAGTGATACTACATCAACTATTTTAGAAATTTATAACAGCTTACAACCAAGTAGAAGTCATTTTAACATACACATTACCTTATATTTGCATAGGTATTATTTGGGTCTCAAATTGAAATAAAAGAAATCTAGAATCTGCTTAAATTTTGGTAAATTACCTTTTATGAGCTATTAAAGTCTTATATGACAAGAAAAGTGGTGTTATGGGGCAAAATATTTTACCCTGTATCATAGGGGAAAAAACCATGGAGTCTGAACATCTGACACAAATTCCTAAACCTGACCCAAGTATATCCTTAAGTTCATTTTCTTTAAAATATTGTAAAGAATTAGATATAATATATGGATAAGGGTTACAGTATATATTCATACTCATACTATTCCAGTTGTTTGATTAAACTTTGAGGATAGCTCTTGTTATATTGTATTATTCATATACTTACCATGCTTACCTTTTCGTTATCATTTGTTGTATCAAATTCATATATCATTAGTCCTGTGTAAATACTATCAGTAAAAGAAAAAAGCGTGAAGAACAATAATAAATGATAAGATGCAAGCTATTTGTATGATATTCTTTTTTAATTATGAAACTAAATTAAAAGTATAATGGTCGTGATTAAATTGAATGGTTGTGATTGTGTAATATACTTGTGTTTCTATTACAACCAACTGTATGTGTAATGGGTATTTGTATCTTTATAGATAGATATAAGATATTTGTAACAGTTTATTAAAAGTAGTTATTTAAAGTTAAAAGTTTAATTTTTTTTCCCATGGGACAACAAATATCCCATGATATAACAATTATCCCATGGGACCCAAAGAAAATCCATGGGATAATGGTCAATCCAATGGAATTTTGCCCTGTCCTATGGGATTTTGAAATCCCATGTTTTTCTTAATCAAATTGCAAAATATATTTAATAATAACAGCAAAAATGCAATGCATTTATTGAATCAAACGTAATTCTGCACATTTTGGCTATATACATGACACTGTAGCTCTAAGGAAAGGCGGCGGCGGATTTGCAAATGAGTGTTTTGCAAATTAAGTGTCCAGTGTTTTTTATTTATTAGAAATATTATAAGCATACGTGTTCGTCATTTAATATTCATATGCTCATGCATTTATGTAAAGTTTGTTTAGTTCAATACTGAAAATATTAATTGATCATTTTTGGTGGAAAATTACATGAATTATATGTTAGTATTATTTGCATTATATACTATTTTTTTGTTACTAATTATATATGACTTTTCATCATGTTCATATGCGCTTTTGAAGAATCAAAATAAAAACCATTTCACTGTGTTTGTTATAACTGTTTTAGGCCCTGGCTCATCCCCTTTAGACCGCAAGGTGTGCTTTTGTTTAAGTCCAATCATAGCAGTCAAACGACAGTTCAACTAACACAGAAACCAAATTCTGATAACTCGTTTAAAAATACCCTTGAGTACAGAAAATTCGTGAGGAATAAACGAACCTTTTTTTATACAAAGACGCTACTGAGTTTCTATAAATAAAAATATGTATTTGATTAAACCATTTCTTTCAGTATAAACGAAGCTATTTAAAGCAAAGAGGTATCCCATGTTGCAAATAATTGAATGTATTTATAAATTTTAAAGAACATATTATTTATTTTATAAAAACATATTTTATCTTTTTTGAATGAAAATTTTGTGTGTATGAATATATATTGAACTCTTTATGAATATATATATATCTAACTTTTATGATCAAGTATGTATTTCTATGAACATATATGTCTTTTTAATGAACAATTATTTGTTTTAATGAATATATATATATATATACATAATTTTTTTAAGAAAAAATATTTTTTTTATGATCAATTATTTATGTTTTATGCATATATATTTTATTCTATGAACACATATTTTTTTTTTGAATATATATTCTGTTTTTATGAACATATATTCGTTTTTACGATCAATTATTTAATTTTACAAACATATTTTGTATATTTTGTGAATATTGCAACGTTTGGCACACCATATGTGTCTCTTGATAATGAAGAATATTCTGTTAACGTTTCCTGAAATTTATTTAAGGTTTAAAGTAGGTTATTCGGAATAATAAAACACTCAATGATTTCGAAACAAAGTATACCCATCGGCTTTACCTCGAAAATAAGTTGACATCTCAGGGACAACAAACTTTTCATTTGATTGTATTGTAAGTTATAATTCCCTTTCATGTGATTTCTCACTTTACATATTAAACTGCACCTGTCTTGTCTCATGTAACCACAAACGATTCTTTTGATAGCTCACGTTTTCAGATGTATATTGTTATTTCATAACAGATACATGTTACAATAGGCAAAGATAGAACAACTTTGTATATACTTACTTTGTGCTGTTAGTGGTACAAAAAGGATCGCTATAATAATCAAAAATACATTTGCATGTGGTTGCAGCTTTGACATCATCTGAAAGTAAGTTTTGTAATCATATAAACCTGAAGATTATCAACATAATGAAATAGAACTTACATAATGCAGATATTCTGTTTTAATCGGAAGCAATTAAATAAACTAGCAGTCTTACATTTCACCGTGCCTTCCATGATTATAATGTATTTAAAAAATAGGAACCAAGCATCTTTAATTAAATTTTGTAAAATTTGAATATAGTCTTGAAACTTATCAAATCGAGAATTCAAATAAATTTGTTCGTTATGTCGTGAATAGAATGTGACTAATCATCGACCAAACAGGCTTCGAGTTCAAAAGTACTTGAATGATGTCTACAAGTTATACTAGAAAAATGTATATTAAATGAAAAATGAGTATTACTTTGTTTGTAAATAAAATTGGAAAAATAGCGGGTGGATGCAAAGGGCGGGGACATCCCGCTTATGTCCGAAAATGATTGTTTTTCATTTTATTTCTACAATTTACTGACACCAATTCGTTCTCTTTAATGACTCAATGCAAAATGTGACACAATTGGATAAAGTTCAAAGAAAGATGTATGTGTTGCTTGTTGTGGGAAACGACCGTCTATTTAGCGTAGATATTGTCGTAAAATCAAAATTCATAGCGGTGTTTTTGTTCGAATCAACATTGCGACAATTCCCCTTTCTCAACGTAGTGCCTCAATATGTATGAATAACTTTCCATGTACATATGTTATATTCTTATCGGTTACATAGTCACAATTACAAAATGTCAAAACCTACAGGAATTTTAATATCAAAGAGTCGTAACATAATTAAATGATTGTCAACAATTTCGCCATATGTATACAGTGTATATGAGACAATATCTGAAAAAGTATAATTTTTGGCAATAGGAAAAACCAAAAAAAAAATAAATGTCTTTAGAACCGGTATTTTAATAGCACAAATCGAAGAACACACATTGATGATCTAGGAACTGTTGTCTGTAATTCAAACAATTGTTAAATGTGGTAACAATGGCAATTTTAAAAATGGTACAAAAAATTCCAGATCTTTCCTGTTACCAAAGTGAATCAATTTTAAAAAGTTTCTAATGGGAATAAGGAATATTAAGTTTAAGACACTATTTGTGGTTTACTAGTATATCCTTCAATAGTTTATCAAATGCCAATTATTTATTTTAGCATTTGCAATACAAAGGTTAAGAAATATACTAAAATATAGTCCGATATGTCGGTAACATGAAAGAATCTTGAGTAACAGGACAAGTAACAGGATAGAGTTGGTAACAGGAAGGAATTTTTTTGAAAAATACATCATTTCAGATTGGTCACAATTGGAGGATAACCGCAAACAATGTCATTTATCGTTTGAAACTGTATTTGCAAGATTAAAAATCTGTCTAGGTAATGCAAAATTCTAAAATAAATTCCTTTCTGTTACCATCTACTATACTAGAATCGCACAATGATCTCTGCTGTTCTCAAAAGTAAAAAACCTGTCATTTCATTCAATATACTGTATATTATGTTGAGATTTTTTTAATATGATGATCATAACTTATATTAAATGTAATGTTTGACATATAGTAGATTAATTTTGTGATTCATCAGTGAAATTGTCTTTAACACCCTTCCTGTTACTGATTATGGTTATGCTGTTACTTTTTATCAGGTAACATGACAGAATGTAACAGAAAGGAATTACACAGTACTTTTTGTCCTTTTATTCGAATTGTGTAGAAGTTTACTTCCATCTACATGTACATATCAATTTGATAAGATACTATAAAAACACATTTACTGTTATAGTGCTGACAATGAAATATGCTCAGAAGGTACACAAAAAGGCTGTAACAGGAGAGAACAACAACATTATTTTTCTCTAAATTCGGATTTTTTGGGAGTTCGAATTTTCAAACTGGCTGCCATTCACTTATACATATGGAATCATACATTCAGGAAATGATACTCATCTCATTGCATTACAAGAAATAAAATCTTTGTCTTTCAAACGTTTCCACTGGTGAAAAAAACCCAGTGGTAACAGGAGGGAAATTACCCCTTGGGACAAAATTTAAAAGACCCTTAAAAATGCAAAATTTTATCACATGCTTTAGTTACAACAAAATCAGACCATTAAGGGACAAGTTTTCTATATAATCTATCATATTTGTGAAAATCGGAGGCCTGTTTACTTAATTTAGATATTCTTTGAATGATTTAGTTGTCAGCAAACAACACCGAACAACATGATTTTTTTGGGGGGTTGAACATTTAAATTATAATAGTTTATTAGAAGAAATATTTAAGAAAGAGTGTTTAATTGGCAATAGTTGGTGCATAATATACTCTTAAACTGAGTTTTACTGTGCGTACTGTTGTACGTTTGTTTTTTCTACATTGGCTAGAGGTATAGGGGGAGGGTTGAGATCTCAAAAAACATGTTTAACCCCGCTGCATTTTTGCGCCTGTCCCAAGTCAGGAGCCTCTGGCCTTTGTTAGTCTTGCATCATTTTTAATTTTAGTTTCTTGTGTATAATTTGGAGTTTAGTATGACGTCCATTATCACTGAACTAGTATACATCTTTGTTTAGGGGCCAGCTGAAGGACGCCTCCGGGTGCGGGAGTTTCTCGCTGTATTGAAGACCCATTGGTGGCCTTCGGCTGTTGTCTGCTCTATGGTCGTGTTGTTGTCTCTTTGACACATTCCCCATTTCCATTCTCAATTTTATCTTGTTAATACTGAAACTTATTTTTTTTCAAAAAGATGCCTGAAGAAAAATATAATTGCTGATGAAAGATGGAACATGGAAATTAGACTTTTTCAGATATTGCCTCATATCCATAACATCAACATATTATTCAAAATTGTTGTTAAAGATTTTTTGTACAATTTGCAACATAAAACAATTGATTTGATTTTTGATTTTTTGTGTTTTGACGCCACTTTTAAGCACCGCTTTTGGGCTATTTAGTGGCGGCCAGTTTTTTATTGGTGGAGGAAGACGGAATGCCCGGAGAAAACCATCGACCTTCGATAGGAAAACTGACAATCCTAGTCAATTAAAATTGTAGTCGAGTGCACCAGCACGAGCGGGGTTCGAACTCACAACCTCAGTGTTGACTGGCTAGTGATTACAGTAGTAACTACTTAGACCACTCGGCCACCGAGGCCACTAAAATACGTTTTAAACCAAACAGATTGACTACATGTGTTTAAAGCCATTATTCGGCTTGGCTATATCATGGCGGTCTTTTGTTTCGGTAGAAGAAGCCGGAGTACCGACCGATGAGATCCACCGACTTTAAAAACACTAGCAGTCCTAGTCAATCAATATTGAAGTCGAACAATTTCTCAACTTCAGTGTTGAAAAATTATATATACAAAACAAATGTCGGTATAAGGAACATGTATAATGATTAAAGATCTACAGAATGTGAAACCCAACAGTCACGTACATGTATCAATCCATGGAACAGTGGCAAGCTGTTTAGATTGGCAAATTGTTTTAATGGCATTAAATTAGGAGTACAATAAATTGTCCTTATGATTTAGTTTGAAATTTTTTTAAATATCAAATGGAACAATGACGTATATCAGTAAACACAGTTGTGAAATATAAATACATTCCTCAAGATGAAAAGATAATGATAACAAATACACAAACCATGTAACGTCTACACAGATGTTTGTAATTATTACATGTGCATCTTACATAGCCACCAACACAAATTAAATCAACAATCTTAATCATTCCCTATATAAACTAAATGATGTTTATATAAATAAGAAGATGTGGTATGAGTGCCAATTAGACAACTCTCCATATAAGTCACAATGTATAAAAAGTTAACAATTATCATGATTATAGGTCAAAGTACAGCCTTCAATACGGAGCCTTGGATCACACTGAACAGCAAGCTATAAAGGGCCCCAAAATGACTATAACATGTATATTATTGTATAAGTTTGTACCTTGTCATTCATCTATACAAGTGGTTTGACAGTATGTATGGGTTCTTCGTTCTGTTTTCTAAAAGTATTTCATAAAGTTAAAAAAAATAAACTTACGTTCATTGCACCAATAACAACATCACATTATGTCCACAGCTAACCAGGAAGTACAAGACATAATGTGTACTTAATTATATATACCCGCTTCGAATATCTTAAGTTGGTTTATTGTTACCTAGAGCAGTCAGGCATAGATCCGAAGTATCATATTAATGTCTTTATCCTTAAAGAAAAACGATTTAAATGTGAAGAAAGTATTTAAAAGTATTCACAAAATTGAATGTCAACTTTTTTTACTGGTGTTTAACAGAGCAAATGACCCGTGTACTGTATGTCTAATATGTAAATGTTTTACTTGTCAAAATTCGGATGGATAAATCATGTAACTCGGTCATACTATACTGGATTAAATGACTTTGGTTTAGCAGTCGACAAAAAAATATAATCTTTAAATCGTAAATCGAATCGAATTGTTTTCAGTATTTTATAAAATGTATCAATTACCGCTTTAGAAAAGTGCATCTATAATTTATGTTCTTGCATTTAGAACAAGTATGCCAAGTTTTAGGATGATAGATATATGTTCTTCAGGACATATGCACAGACAATTACACGCGATGTAATACATATTACGTAACCTTTGTCTAAGGGAATGAAGGTAAAAAATGCGGAAGTAAATACGAAACAATGTCTCTAAATAACCGAGATGTCCCATTTTTTAACTCACCATTGGTGTGAATGATAGCTTCCTAGTTTGAAAGGACATGCTAAAAAAGTTGATAAAGCAAAAAAAAAATCCTTGCTAAGTTAACTTAGTTCTTTTCCTATTTAAGTAGCTGCTGTGGTAAATCTTTCATTGAGAAGCTGCTTCATTAATTGAAATATGTTAAATAAGTCTATAGTTTGACGCGCAGTGTGTATCAACTATATTACGTTTGTTAAATTCATTTTGAAGGTGATATTTAAGACGAACAAGTCCTAAACTCTTCATGAATTTAAATCAAAATAAAGTTTTGTAAACAGTTTTTGAAGGTCACGAACAGACGTCCTTTCTGACTTGTTCTTTCTACTTTTATAATGATTTTGGTCCAAAATTTCCCCTTTTGACACATTGATACCATGATAGACATTTTGACGCATGCTTCATGTGACGATAATATCGGTGCTTTGCTTTTGCGCCAACTATCATTTCATTTGCGCCACAAACCGTTTTTCATTTGCGCTACAGACAGTATTTCATTTGCGCCAAAATAATATATTTCACTTGCGCCAAAAATACAGGTAAATAAATAATCGAGACTTGCACTTTTTGCTGGTCTAAACCGTGGTTGACTGTGTAATTCAATGTCATTATAATGGTTTTGCTGTCCACATCTGTTGTGATTCTGGTTTTGCAACTTTTTGTGGTACATTAATACGATTTGTCTCCGTTTTTCAATACATTATTTATCCTAAATGTGAGGTCTTAAAAGTTAAAGACGTATTTTCTCATCTATTTGTCTCCGAAAGAAGTATGTCCAATATGTCACCTCTAAAATGTGACTACTATACAATTTTAGACCTGTTAGCGACTCTCAGTTTTGTATGAGAAATGAGTATGAAATCACTTATCTAACCTATATATATAGGGGAGGGGGAATAATCTACAGCATTTCTTATACGAGCATCGTAATCAGGATACAACTTATATTAGACGTGTTACGAAAAAAGTATATACTCGACACTGAGGTTGACAAATTAGACTTTAAATGTGGGGACTGTGTCAAAACATTGATTATCGATAAAAACCGGTAAAATTTGCGTGGTGTTAACCAGGTATCATATACACTTCTTGATTCATTTAAATGTTTGTCAATTTAGAATATAATTGTTTTCTGGTATCATTGCTTATGATCATAGGACGGGAAAGGTGTATGTGTGTGCAGGGGTAGATTGTTTTTAAAGTATGCACTTCTAGATTCACAAAATAAGCCAGTTTGATTTTTTTTTTATTAATTACTGTTCTTCGAACATATCAATCTGCCACTCTACTACTTAACCTCGTACTGAAAAAGGATGAAATATTTGTCACTAGACGAAAAACAAATAACAATCAATCAATCTCTACTAAACCCGCACAAAGTTCTACAGTCTGGTTGATTTTTTTTTCGGATTTCACCATACGCTTCCATTGACATTGAAAGTTTTTAAGCACCACAAATACCCGGCATCCGAAAAATAATCGCATGTTCATTTTTTACATTATATTCTTTCTGCTCGTGGTATAGATGTAGCTCAATGTATATGGCGCCTATAGAGGATAACGAGCGGAGAACGACATGCGGTATAGTTGTTTTTTTTTTACCTAAAACGACGAAGTCCTGGGGGAAATCTAATTCCATCCGTGTGTGTTCTGTAAATGGTACAATAATTGCTGTTAATTGACGCTGACGCTGTGGGCATTTTCTGCCACCCGCCATGTAGTTGTCTCCAATTTTCAACGGTCGACTAAGAAGTATTTAGTGCATAGATTTCACAAAGAATCTGTATTTAAGCATCTATTTGTGCACTCGCAGCATCAACAGAATCCTCAAAGATGAATATACAGGAATATGTATTTAGGATGTCAAACCAGCGAACAACGAGTCACATTTTACTTACATGCAATAGAGGGTATATATGACAGGAAGCACTTTTCTGACTGTTTGAAAGTCTGTTCAAACAGGTAAGACAATTTCAGACCTTAGAAATTACAATGCGAAATGTTTTGAAACCTTGCATGAATATGAAAAGGATGTCTTTTTCCACAGATATTCATTTCGTTTGGTCAAACCAGTCACATTTAACATGAAAATAGTATAAGGGGAACTAAGCTTTTCCTGAGTAGGTATTAACAGATTATTATAATTATATAAAACCATTTCCAATGTCCAATAAGGGCCTTAGAGGTATTATTTTGGTCATATGTACAATTGCCAAAAAATCACAAAGTACATTTTGCAAACTTTAAAAGTACCTAGGTTAGGAGTATATTACTCAGAACGGGTACCTTCTTCTCCCGCCCGCCAGCTGGATTTCATCATATTATATAATAAACCTGTTCTGCATTGTGTGCAACCTGTCCAAAAGTTCTGACCTCAGGTCAGTGCTTTTAAACACCCCTTTGAGTTAAATGGTATGCTGCTATTGATTTCAAACTCGCAAAAATTAGAATTGGCAAGTACATATTGCTTTAATTTTAAAGGGTTGGTGGGGGATTTGTTTCTTTCATTCCCCTTTTTCTGCTTTCCTTCTGGATATTATATCCTTTCTGCAATACCCTTGCCTCCTGTTAGTGTTCCAAAAGGAAAAATTATTTTGGGATTTTTCATTTTTATTCCTCACGAGATAACTATTATGGAATGAATATCTGTTCCATAAGGAATATTTATCTGTTATAAAGTTTTCAAATGAACGTCTGTTTTAAGGAACAAATATACGAGGACATCAGTACTATGCAGTTTAAATACAAGATTCAAAATTGATACACAGGTAAATTAAATCTTTAAATCACTTTTATGTTTTTATACGATACCCGCATTTAAAGTCTATATGTACTACTTTCCAGTATGTTCTTTTTTACCAGGCCCGACTAGGTGGTGTAACATCTGACAGTCTATCCAAATTAATTTTTGCAAAGAATGCAGCTCAAGCCGACGCTAGGGGCCGTCTTAAACTTGCAGTGAGGTGAGAGTTTTTTCTTTTTTTTTTTTTTTGCTTCGTGTTGAAGGCCTCACTGTACCTTTGAGATGAAGAACAGCAATAAAAGCGCTGTTCCGTTGCTTTTTGTGTGTTTTTTTACTGTGCATGTACTGATTTTGTGTCATGGATGAATACCCCATATCCTTTGTTTTTCTATTATATTAACGGAGTTTGTTTCTCGTGCTGTGTTGAGGCCGTAGAAAGTTTCCGCGTGCTTGATATGTATGCTCCTCTGTATTTTTAAAGTTATGGTGTATATATCCTTGAGATAACTTCTCTTTATGTGTGCCACATCATTCTCTCAATTTTAAGCCAGTTTGTATACTAAAATTTTAATAAGACGCACACCACCTATTCTTGGTCCTCATTCCTATCCACGTTAAATTTTTCACTTCAAAACATTTTATGGAAGCGGGATCAATATACCTGTATTTATTTATACATCAGAACGTACTGCACTGGTTACCGGAATTTGGGATACACCAAACCAGGCACTTCATATCTGAGAAACAGGCTATATATGCCCTCAATTTTAGAATCCATTCATACATTTTTGTATTATTCAAAATTATTAGTAAATTATGTGTTCTACAAGGATCACCAGTCCTTCTCCCTTCATCTGATACCGTAATTACTAAAATATATGCTACATAGTTGAAGATTTACCCTTATGCATGTTATGCGTAGGAACTATTTTGTTTTAAACATGTACTACTTTCCAGTATGTTCTTTTTTGACCAAGAACGATTAGGTGATGTTACATCTGACAAAGTTGCAGTGAAGTGAGAGTTTTTTTGTTTTTTTAAATTTGGCTTCGTGTTGAAGGCCTCCCTGTGACTTTGAGATGAAGAACAGCAATAAAAAAGCTGTTCCCTTGCTTTTTGTGTGTTTTTTTACTGTGCATGTACTGATTTTGTGTCATGGATGGATACCCCATACCCTTTGTTTTTCTATTTGTCAACTTCAGCGTCGAGTATATACCATTTCGTAACACGTCTATTAAAACGTTTCCGTTGTATTTTATCTTAAATTGGCACAGAGGCAGTATTTATTTTGGCGTAAAGGCAGTATTTATTTTTTGGCGCAAATGAAATACTGCATTTTTTTAAAAATTGGCGCAAATACAATGCGCCTGGTAATTCTGACCTTTAATGTTAATTAGAAGATACACAAACAATATTATTTACAGGTTTAAACGACCTAAGGCGTCATTGCTTTTATTTATTCAACTTTACAGCAAAAATGATAAAGTTTGTCCATATTATGATTTTACATAAAGAAGTTAGTGGTCGTACTTATAGAAGAAAATAATTTGAATCTTGGACCAGTCAGAGTCTTAATTAAATAGAGATTAATATATGGCCTTTTCCAAATCGGCCCGGATATCATCCCGAGACCCCCATATCAGCCCAAGACGTTATTCTAAAATTAATCC